CACAACTAGTTTCCGCCTCTCCCACCTATCAAAGTACGGTGCATAGGCCAAAAAGCGCCCCAGCACATCAAAGCACGTATACCACTCTGCCCTGGTTTCAGGTAGCACAAACAGCTCTTTCAGCCGATAGTAGCGCGGCGGTATGGTGGTAGCTATATTTTTTTGCCATTCCCTGTAGTGCTGGGCCAAAGCACCGACATGTTGCAACAGGATCCATCTTCTTACCGTCCCAGGCTCGAGTGTCCCTCGCAGACGACGCGACCATGTACGAGTTTGTGCGCCCCTACAGTAACTTTTGACAAAAACACCAATGGCGGATAGTTTCAGCTCATCACCCAGGGCCACATCGTCCTCCGGGTCAAGGAATAGGCCCAGACACAGAACGCCTCCCAGCCCCGAAATTGTAGTCAGCGCCAACCAGTTGGTTAGGGGGAGATCTGATCTGTAGCGCGTGTACCAGAATACATACATAGGGGACCCCGTAGCCAGGGCAAGGCGACCCAGCTGCAGCAGAATGCGGTTGTTTCCAATATCTGCCTTCTGGAAGAGCATAACGAGGCGGTGGTCGGGGGCATCAATGTCTGTTTGTCATACACTGGGTTCGCCAGCACGGTATTCCAGAGCTCAACCAGCATTGCGTAACAACACAAGGAACTCTCGCACAAGGGCTTCCCACTCTTGTGGTATGTTCATGGTAAGTAGCTTTTTGTAAAGGTATGGAACCAGAGGATCAGTGTCTATCTCGTGTTTGGACATGTACAGGTAGGGGCCTAGTGCACCACCGGGGGACTTAGTGAGGTGCATTATTGGGCCAACAACACTGTTTCGTTCCGAGATCTCCGAGGCTACTTTGTGGTCAACCTCTTTGTCTGGATAGTACTGTGTAATAATAGCGACGCTGGCCATATAGATGGAAATCAGCTCAGCGGTAGTGGCGGAGGAGTAGTAGCCGCGGGCGCGGCCGGCAAAGAAGAAGGAAAACTCACGCTGCTGAAGTAGGGCTGCAACTGGGGGCAGGGTATCCTGGGGGTACTGGGGTACCGCTCGGGGAGAGATGTTGTATGGCAACATTTGGCTTACATGATTGGAGTGCATTTACAATGCTACAGGAAGATGTAGGGGTAGTCTTAAACCGCTTTGGAGTTAGACGTGGCGTCCAGACAGTTCGGCGTTTCGTTGGTGTACCGGGGAACGAAGAGCCTGAGAGGGAGCGCTGGTTGAGCTGCCCCAGCGCTTCCTTTACACAGGGGAGTTCTGGTGTTATGAATCGACTAGACCTAGGTCTATTGTAGTGCTGTGGCATTGTTAACTAGCGAATACATATATATATGTGTGTGTAGCACATATGTTTGTGTTCTGTATTC